GAAAGAAAGAAAGAAAGAAAGAAAGAAAGAAAGAAAGAAAGAAAGAAAGAACAAACTTGGAAGACAATTTCAGGCCAAGCAGTTGCCCCAAAATGGACCCAAATAATTTGGATGATATGGTGAAGCTCAGAGAAGGGGTTCCAAAACTCTCTAATGGCATCTAACCACCACCCCCACTCCACTTCGCAGCTTCACCAGCTCATGAGCAATGACACCACCAACTGCAAAGACTCAAGGGCAATGCCAGGGCTTTGCAGTATATTTCACCTTTTGGGTTTGTTTTTTATTTTAGCTTGTGCAAAACGTACAGGCAGATGCAGAAAATTTTCTTGCACGTACAAGGCTTTCAGACTAGGGTACAGAAAATTAGCATGAGACAAAGAGAAAGGAAGGAAAGGAAAAGAGAGAGCACATGAGAATGGAGAGAAGGAGCAGACCTCCACCAGCCACCTGAGAATTCCCAGTAATTCCCAAACTCCGTGGTCTCTGAATCAGCTGCAGCCATGATTGCATGTTTTACTGTGAAGAGGAGGCCTATTTGCCCATGGTCCTGTTGCAGCCATGTGGTTGGACAGCAACCTAAGGTCAAGGGCCAATGCAACGGCCCTGGGGAGGAGACAGAAGATGAGGCGCATGCTTCTGCCCCATGAGTACACAAGACTGGATGGGAGAGAACCAGGCCCTGCTCTGGAGAAATCCTGGCTAATGAGGTAGCAGGTCCCAGGGCTGGGGAGCTTCTGGCTTACTAGACAAGAATGATCACAAAGCAACATGCAGCAAACAATTCCAAGGGAAAGGAGTCCATAAATATTGAGGGGACACAGTGAAGGAGTGAGCAGAACAGGTTGGGGTTATTCTACTTCTTGAGAAAAGTTGCTCAAAGAGAATACCCTTCAACTGTACTCAAATAAAAAAAAATTTAAAGAGAAAAGAAATCAAACCCTTTCCAGTGCAATAGTCACACACAGAGGAAGCCCAGGTACAGATCCCCAACCACTCCAATGTCCGTCCTGCTGCTTTTGGAACTGTGCTCTCGTGAAACTATTTTGGACACATTTCCAGAAGGTAGGTATCAGAGAATGAAAATCTTACACATCCAATGAATCTCCCAAAGCCACCTTGTTTGAGGAGTGGAAACATCTTCTACATATATGTCCCAACTCTGCGAACTACATGTGATGGTAAAGACAGGTTTCCTAAAATTTTTAGCCTAGTCCAAGTTGGGAGAAAATAATGACATTTGGTACATAAATGTCTATTGTAAATATATGTCATTATATAAAAATAAGCCATGAATAATCAGAAACATAAATCTATATGCTGCAGACTTGTAGCAACACACCTCCACATGTTCCTAATGGCTCACTCGTACCAGGTCCTCAAGACTCAGGCGAGAGTATGGTTAACCCCATGATTCAGAGACCTCATTTGACCCTGGTCCGCCTGGATGGCTCAGCATGCAAATCGAAAACCTTGAGGCTCAGACCCTCTCCTGTCTTGACAGGGCTTTTCTGGGCTGCCAAGCAACTCCCTGCTGTATGCCAAGGTGTAATTAGTTAAGGTTGATCTCGCTCATGGCAGCTCTGCTGTGAAATGCCAGTCCTGTTCATAGCTCGCCATCGGGCTCTGTGCTTGTCTTCTTGGAGTTGTAACTCAGGTCTAACTTTTGTCTTCATTTACAGCACTAGGACACTGACAGACTCTTAAATGCCATAAACAATACTTTTCTGACACTTATCCACCTCATGGTAGTGCAGACATGTCACATGTACCAGCCAATCCTTCCAAAATAATATTGATATAAGTAGTAGGCACACAAAAAATGACAGGCATTTTTACGTCCAGATTTAAATGGAGGTGTTTTTGGTATCATTTCCCAGACCAGGAGACTTACATGGTGGAGAACTTCCCCAGAATGAATGTTTCTTGCTCACTTGAATTTGAAGAGAGACTTTCTCAAAGGATGCAGGCAAGGGGCACCTGGGTGGCTCAGTTGGCTGAGTGCCTGCTTCTGGCTCAGGTCATGATCCTGGAGTCCCAGGATCGAGCCCCTCATCAGGGTCCTTGCTGCTCCCTCTGCCCCTCCCCCTGCTCATGTTTTCTCTCTCTCTCTCACTCTCTCAAATAAACAAATAAAATCTTAAAAAAAAAAAGGATTCAGACAAATGTTGCTCTAATTCTCTACATGGAGCGATGTTAGTTGTCCTCATCTTGTCCATACATGGTGATTGGTGACACTGCTCTTCTGCACACTTAGGTCCTTTCCCACTATGTTTGTACCTCTCCTCTGGGACTCCTATGTGGCATGGCCCAAGTTGAATGAGGGAGCCCAGGATTCTCCCAATTAGAGACACCTGATACTGGCCCCAAATTAGCTTGCCTAGGGAACAGAATATATAGGTGCAGTGCATCTCAGCCCAGCCCCAAACTCATGGCCACCCAGTCCTCACTTCCTTTCCTGGAACTGCCCGTGGGTGCTACCTGAGGTGTCCGCTCCAGTGTTTGCTTAGGAAGAAGATGCCTGTGATGAAAACTGGAGGCCTTGAGGCTCTGCTTCATAGGGGCTTGGCCTAGATTTTCTAGGATAACTCACCGCACTGGGGGAAATGAGCTCATCTGGTCACTGACCTGACAGATGGCAGTGACTCTGGTCAAGGGCGCCAAGGAAAACTCCCAGAAGACAGCCGCTCCTCTGTGGCTTTGGTGGCAGGGCCACATGGATGGGTCTGTCCGCCAGTAACCTTCTCATATCCCCAGAGTGTAAACATCAAGAGAAGCCACACTCCCTGGGATCTGCATAGGGGATGTCTCCATGGTCATCTTGACCTGATTTGAGTCAGTAAAGAATCTGTTAAACCAAATCCCATTTGAGAAATGGGTGGCTGTTCTTAGACTCCGACCTGGTAGAGAGTCCATCCTGGAACCTCAGAGCTGAGGAAAGCTGGCTGAAAGCAGCAAGACTCATCCAAGAAGCTGTGGTGGAGGCACACCCATCCTGGCCTGGTGGCTGGCTGCCAAAGCAGATTGGCTCCAGGTGAGTCACTGGCAAAGAGCACTTCTTCCTGTTCTGCATCAGCAACCTGTGCACGGGTCATGAGCTGCTGGAGCAAGGTCATGGTGTAGAATTTGAAGGACACCAGGAGGCTTTTGCAATCTGATGATATTCCTGGGCTCAATGAATTCTTCCATCCAGTCTCCTACTTCCAGGAGGTTTGCTCCCCTGGCTTCTCTTCAGGTGCCACAATGGGTCTCTTCGTGTGACACCAAGCAGCTATCTCCACACTGCCTCTGTCCAGGAGACTTTGTTGAATGTATTGCTAGCTGACCCAAATGATCACAGTCTGAGCTTCCCCTCCCCCACTCATACAGTTTCTTTCACTTGTAAATAAGACATGAGATTACCCTGAAAAGTACTCTAGGAAGAAAGTATACACATTTGCTGTAACCAGGAATATCTAAATTTACTTTAATCCGTAACAATTCATGTTAGGGGAAATTTTCTTTCTGATTGTTCATTTCACCCTGGTAACGCTTAGGACCATGTAGGGACAAGCCCAATTACCTCCATTAGACACCTGAGGACAACACAGCCCCATAGTGATTCGTTTGAAGGACTCCAGAAAATTGGTGACAAAGCTGATGTCTGGTTTCCTGCCTTTCCTTCTGGGGTTCTTTCTACCAACCTTCCTTAATTTATTTATTCAGTGTAGCAACTAAAATGAAAAAGTTCCTAGCACATGCCATGGAAGAAACAGGTTTTTAGTCTTCTCTCCCACAGCCCACCCACACAAACCATCTGTCCAGCCACCCCAAAACAGCGTCGCGCTTTCTGCCTCGGCACCTTTGCTCCTGCCGTGTCACTTGCTTGAACGGCTCTCCTCCAATTCTGTGTTCAGTGAAACTTAATGATCCTTTCAGTCCAAGCTCAGCTGTCCTCTGTTCTATATTGTCCTTCTGATTATTACAGCAGGAAATAATTGCTCTTGCTGGCGATGCCGTTAATTTAAAAAAAGCAACTTTGAGGCTGTCATATACTGCTTTGGATTATAATTTTTTGCAAGTGAATTTTATCTCCCCAAGTAAACTGTGGGCCCAGAGGTGGCAGAAACTATGTTCCCCACAGTGTCTTGCGTATAATAGCTCAGTATTTACTGAATGAGTAAGTGAGACATGGGGACATTAAATGGTTTCTTCAAGGTTTCACAGTATTGGGACTTGAATTCAGAACTCCAGAATCTGGTCCTCATGTTCTTTCTACCATGTCATGCTGAAAGCAACATGGTTTCCACTGTGATGAGCTTTTCTGCAGGTCAAAAATGGTTGAAAACCAGCTATTCATACAACTCAATCTAACACAAAGCATACTGTGCTGCTCAGAAAGAACAGAATAGTTTAAGTGGTTGGGCTTGAAAAACTGAACTTCCTGTGCTATTTCTAGCATGAAATGAGTAGCTCTCTCCCAAAGATGCCCCCTCCTTTCATAAACTTGAACTGATTCTCACCTTGAGTCAATGTGAGAATGAAGTATGGTGGTCATTAAGGTGCCTCCATGGACCACACGAAGCAGAGGGTGAGAGGGTGACCCAGCATTGTCATCTTTCTGTCATCTGCGTGCTTCTCCATCAGCATTGACTAAGCACCCTCTGTTTGCCCATGCTGCGCTGGATGATGTGGGTACAGAAATAACACAAAATCTCTATCCTCATGGGATGCCAATCTAGTAACCATCTATGACTACTGTAAATAATTTAAGCAAAATCTTAAATTTACTAGACAATGTTTCTCACTCTTATTTTATCTGAAGAGTTGAATTAAGAGTAGAACTCTGGGCATCATTCTGTAAATGACATGTAAACTCAATCTGAATGCCAAAATGTAATAAAATAGAAACAATTATGCTTACTCAGAACATCTCAGGAAGCTGCTTGGGGTGGGAGATTTCCAAGACACTGCTGAGGCTCCCTAGGGGGCTGCTCAAGGAACAACAGAAGTTCACTCACCTGCCATCAAAGAGGATTGGGGTGGAGTTAACAGCGAAGCTCTTCTTCTGTGGAGCACAGGGTACAGGTTTGGGTCAGAACTAAATTATTCAAGCCAATAGAAAAGAGACTGATCCTATCCTCTTTCACCTGTGGTTGTCAGGCTGTCTTTCAGTAAATATGAAACACATATTTAAAGAAGCTGGGTTTGAAGCAATACCAGATTGGCCCATTAAGGCAGCTGTCTGCCTCAGTCTAGTCTTGTTTATCTGTGTCATTTTACTTATCTGGGGGGAATGAATGGACCACTCCTTGGGTAGTAGCAGAAACCACAATGGAACCCAGTCTTTCATCCTATGCATTAACATCCCATTGTTAATAGCAATTCATACCACTTGTTTATTTATTAGTGACAATTATCTGCATTGCTCAAATGACTTCCACATCCAAATTAAATATTAGGATATTAGATAAACAACATCAGTTTTCTGAAGGCCATACATCTTTGAAGTACAAAAGAGATTCAACAAATCAAGCAAAGACCAACAGCCTACTTCCTACCAGGCACTGTGCTAGGTACTGGATGTCCCTGTTGGTAAGGCCTTGTATCATTCATTCAGAAGACTACTCTGATAGACAAGCCAAGAGATGTTTTTGTGAAAAGATAAAACTGATCTTCAGGGGTTGCCTGGGTGGCTCAGTTGGTTAAGCAGCTGCCTTCGGCTCAGGTCATGATCCCAGGGCCCTGGGATCGAGCCCCTCATCGGGCTCCCTGCTCAGCAGAGAGTCTGCTTCTCCCTCTCCCTCTGCCTGCCTCTCTGCCTACTTGTTCTCTCTCTCTCTCTCTGTCAAATAAATAAATAAAATCTTTAAAAAAAACCCTGATCTTCAGGACATCATCTTTATAAAATTATAGACATATCTTAAATAGCTCTAGCTCCCTTTAAAGAACTCACAATGAGTTCTTTCTCCATGCAGTTACCTAAATTCCTATTGCATTTATTTTGTTCATGTCTGTATCACTTATTGGTATGACCAATTTATAACTCAAAGAGTAAAGTACAATTTCCTCTTACATGTTCTAAAATTACATCTTTCAAAGTTCAAGGGCTCCTTCTCCCCCTTTAGTTTTAGTGTTGGATAATCTGATGAGTCATTCCTGATTACACAGTATATGAACTTCATATTTTCATAAAATTTAATCATGTTCCCGTTCAGTCTTCTTTTCAAAGCGCTTTACCCCAGCAGTAGGTCGCTAGTCCTCAAGTCATTTCTGAGGCCCTTCTGGAACTTTCCTGGTTCTTCATGTTTCTATTGATGTGTATGGTTTCCAAGAGTGGGCAATAAGCGGGTGAGGTGTAGGCTACTGTGATTCTATATATATCCAGGTTGATGCCTACATAATTAATAATAAACAAGCCAGTATCTCATACAACCATTTGTCATCAATCCATGTTTCCTATCCAGACATTGCCTCACTGTCTGAACTTCCTTACTGCAAAAACAAATAAACAAAACAGCCCTACTGTAGCAAACACCTGTATAGAACATTCCTTTAAAACTCATTGTCTTGCTGCTGCATTCTCTTCTCTGATTTTGGTTTTCTATCTACACTTAAGCACTCATCTATGTGCTCAAAGCAAACAAACAAGACAAAACAAAAACCAATATATCCCTCCTGTCCTCCTGCAAAATACCAAACAACAAACCCTCTCCTTATTCCCCATGCATTTCCATATTTTCTTTAACATATTTCTACTCCCTCACTAAACTCCATTTTCCCTTCTGTGCTGTAGTGGTTCTTTCTCATCTTTTTTTCACAGCATACATGTTAAAAACACAACAAAAAGAAAAGTCTTCTCATTCTCTGGCTAATGTGTAGCCAGTACAGTGAGGAGAAAATGGGTCTCACAAGCCAAATAAATTTTAGCAATTAACAGTGTCTTCTGTGCATGGAACTTAAAAATATAGCTTTGGACATTTCATACTTCAAAAATGTCAATTGTGAAAGTTGCATTTAGGTAAATAACTGCTTTAAAACTAGACTCTACAACATTGGATATGATTTAGCTTGGCGCCGTGCATGTAGGAAATGGATGATAAATAATTGATGAGGCTTTACTCTAATAACTACATGAGAAATATTGCACTATCTTGCAGGTTATACTTCTTAATGCAGATGTCTGGTGGAAGTTTAGTTAACTCTGTGAATGTTTTTGATGGATGAATGGAAATCATGTGGTGGACTGATGAGAAATGGATAGAGTATATAGGTTTCAAGTTTTTAGGAGGTAATATTCCCTTTGGGACCACCTAGATAGCCTGTGGTCTAGAATTCTGTAGAATGAATATGAATATGACAGCAGCATACTTAAAAAAATTAATTAGTTCTAGAAACTGATGCTTTTAAGTGTTTCTTCAGTGGATCTTCAAAAAAGGCAGCATTGTACCCATGCACTCAGGAAAAGCTTTAATAAAAAAGCAGATGAAAATCTGTAGCACAGGGGCTCCACTGTTCCTTCAATCTTTCACTCAACTGTTGTCAACTCTAAATACTTTTGGTCCAGTTTAGAGAACCATCACTGGCCTTGAGACTCCCCAGAGAAAGCCTCTACTGGGTTTTCATCTTGAGTTTTCTAAAGACACGTTCAGTGCCAGTTGGGCTGCATGAAGATGTAGGCGGGATCTTTGCGCTTACATGATCAGGCCACTAAGCAGGTGGTCTCATATTTCACTGAATTGGGAGTGAACACAAAATTCACAGGGACAAATGTTGATTCAAGCACAAGGATGAGGATTGCCAAGTCTCATATCCTAAAATATGGAATTAGTCAATGGCTAGGAACTCATCCACACATCAGTCTGGAAAGATAAGTCAAATACAGAATGTTTTCTTTTTCTACCTTAAATATCTGCACTAGCTGACTAGACAGTACCATGCCAGTTGCTAATTTTAGAGGGTTTGGACTTATTTCTACAGTATAGACATAAACTAAGTATGAGGTCCAAAAAAGCTAGTTTTTTTAAAACATAACTAAAAGTCCCTGTCAGAAGCTGCCTGTTGTTAATGAGAAGACTGTTGGAATAGAAGAATATAATAAAAACCAACTGTCCTTCCCAGCTGACTTAATTTTTGAAGAGACTGAAAAAACACGGACATGTGACCTGTGGCTTGAGAGAAGCCCAAATGAATTCCTCCAACACATTTACATTCAAGCTTGACCCTGCAAAGATCTTCATTTTCTGCTCCAAGGATGCTATGGCATATGCACCGTCTTCCCGACTGGGCCTCTGAAAGGCAGCAGGTCCTGCAGGGGCACTGATCATCTCAGAGCAGTCCATACAGTTCTGTAAATCTTGTACAGAATTTCAGATCCCACCAGCTCTTATTTACAAAGCTCTTTGACACCTATTCACAGATCTATGGTTCAGAATGAAAATGCTTAGGATATACAGCCTCCCAGAATGTTCACTGTTTTCCTTTTGTTGTTTAGAAATAGGAAACTTATTAATTTTTAAAAATATTTATTTATTTATTTATTTATTTATTTGAGAGAGAGAGAATGAGAGAGCACAAGCAGGGGGAGGGAGGGAAGGAGAGGGAGAAGCAGGCTCCCCACTGAGCAGGGAGCCCGACATGGGGCTCGATCCCAGGATCCTGGGATCATGATCTGAGCAAAAGGAAGATGCTCAACTGACTGAGCCACCCAGGAGCCCCGGAATCTTATTAATTTAAAGCAAATGTCCACAGAACATGCATCATCCTTCAAATAGTTTGGTAATACCTACCAAATTTTAAAGTGGGGAGAGAATTGGGGGAAGATGAAAGAGGTAGCAGCATAGCTTTGAATCTCCCCAGGTCCCTTCACAAACAGAATAACTAGACAGCAAAACCAAAACCCCTTGAAAATATTTATAGGAAAGCTAGGTGACAAAGTATCCCCATAAACTTCAAAACATAAGCAGACGGGGATAGCCACAAGACCTACAAATTATCAGCACCTATGTAAGAAGAAGCAAAGGGAAGGCACAGTGTATCAAGAAGCTCTGAGAGCAGGGAAGCTCAAGAATAGCCAATAGGTATTCCCTGGAAAGTACAGTGGGTTAACATGATAAAAACAGCTAAATCTAGAATTTTGTGGTTCATAATGGTTGATTGCATGGAGCCCGCAGTAAGAAGGACTGAAGGGGTTGAAGTTGTGTCAACCCTATGAGCTCTTTAGACTGACCAGCCAGGGCATTTTTCCAAGAGGGCCCGCACTGAGGAGGAAATTGGGGGAGTAGAACCAAAATTGAGTTGTACTAGGACAAGAGAGACAAAGGAAGAGAAATTTCAGATAAAAATGGGGAGAAGAACACAGCCAGCCACCTTGTTTTTGAACACTTCACAAAAACAACAGGGACGTCCATGAAGTCAGTTTTCCTAACTTCTCAGTCATGCCTTTAACAAAACCATGCCTCTTTCTAAAAGTTCAGGAAATCTGATTTTACATAGAAATGAATAACATAAAAGGATGAACTTCAAATTTCATACAAACATTGTTAGAAAAAAGAAATGAAGGGGCAGAATGATATTCCTACAGACAATGAAATCACTTCAGAAAGGCAAGTCTTTAAACAGGATCAGAACAGTAACCTACTATTTCAAAATGAAGTGAAAGAGATTAGGAAAGTTATACATGAAAGGATAACAAATCAAAATTAGGAAAAAATCAGAAAGGAGAATACAGAACTCAGAAGAGAATTAGAAATAAAAGAAAAATTTATTTCAGAAGTAAAAATGAGATCAATTCCTCAATCCCATTTACAATTGCACCAAAAGCCATAAGATACCTAGGAATAAACTTAACCGAAGAGGTAAAAGATCTATACTCTGAAAATTATAAAACACTGATGAAAGAAATTGAAGAGGACACAAAGAAATGGAAAAACATTCCATGCTCATGGATTGGAAGAAAAATATTGTTAAAATGTCTATACTACCCAAAGCAATCCACACATTTAATTCAACCCCTATCAAATAGCACCAGCATTTTTCACAGAACTAAAACAAACAATCCTAAAATTT